CTGGGGAGCTGATCAACTATTTATAAGGAAGGATCTTTGTTAATTGAGTGAGATTGATTTTTTTCCCTTGCTGGCTGGGTATGTGTTTACTTGCACTCTGAGCACATGGACTGAGGGGAGGGGATTACAGCTAAGTCACTGATCAAGAGATTAGTGACTTAGGCTTTGTAGCATTCCTTAGCCAATAGGAAGTCCCAGCCAGCAGTCTTTCCAAAGAGGAAAGATAAGAGAGGAGCTCAGAAGCAGAACAATTTAATAGGAATGGGAGAATTTTATGAAAAAATTAAAAGGAAGATGAAACACATACTGATCTCCCATCTCCAAAGGCTAAGTATCAAGATGTGTTTAGATATAACATGAGGAAAACAGCGGTACGAAATCTATAAAAATGTAACATGGGATAAAACAGTTAAAGGAAAAAGAATCCAAGTTATTAACAGGATGTAGGATAAAGATAGAAAGCCAAGGGAGAAGGTATTTTTCCAGTTTACTCCACAGAGAGTTAAATGTATAAGTACCAGCCAGCTAAGCACAAGTCATGATTCATTCCTGCATTCCTGGCTCTCAGGAAGCTAATCTGTTTTCTTGAAACCACTGCAGATATTAGACAATCATAAAAGTATGTAGATGAAACTTCCTGGGATATGACAGCTTTGTCTTACTCCCAGGATGACAGCTCCCTTATGGTCAGGGAGAACAAGAGTTAAGGACGGCATAATATGTTTTCTATAGGCAATGAGCCAAATTATTATCTATGACAATAATAAGAAGAGGACTTTTGATTGTGGGAGAGATGATTTGGGTTTGTCATGCACATGTGGATAATACTGGAGTAAAAATAGTAGCCACAGTCTACACTAGCATTAACAACATTAAAAAACTAAGTAAACTGCCCTGGAATTAATTTAGGTTGCTAGGTAGATGACTAAAGTCCAGGCTGCCAAGATAGTATTGTGAGAAATACTATTTCTTCCACACAGAAAAGACAAAGCACAGTGGTCTCCACATGTCATCAAGCAAGTGATCAAGCAAGAGATTTAGATATACTGGTCATCAGTCAACTTTTTTAAACAAGCTAAATCTGTATGAGAGAGGAGTTGTCACATTACACCAAAAAGAGCAGCTTTTAAATTTATCTCTGAGGGAAAGCCTAGCATTAAATTCAGAATAGTGCAGATACCAAATAGTTTTGTTTTGTTTTTTACTTTTCTGGGGAGAAATCAGAATAACAAATTAAGGTAACAGATGAAGATATCTAGGAAGAAAGTATTTGAAGAAATCAGAATAATAACTAAGCAAAACACAGATTATACATCAGAATTAGATTTACATATATTAAATACTTTTGAGGGAGGTAACTAGATTTAAAAAGGGTGCTTACTTTACTTTTTATCCTTAGCTGCTAAATCAAAATTACTTAAAAATTCATAAATAAATTTATCATTGGACAATTGATGCACTATAGTCAATTACTCTTCTTGAAAGTCACTGACAAAATTTGAATACTAAATTCAAAGATGAATTGCATTTTTATCGGATCTACAATTGCATGTATTATTTTAATAATAACTCTAGTTATTATATAATATAAAGAAGTTCTTATTGTTCTTGGATGTTATTTTGTATTCTTGTTGCAATGCTGATTTGTAGAATGAACAAGTAAAATTTAATTAAAAGAATTCTAGGATATCTTGACACCTGGGTCCTGATGGCACCTCCCAAGAATCATTAATTCAAATTTAATATTTCTTCACATTTGCAAAGAAAAATATGTAATTTGCCTTCAAATTGGGTTAGGTCCCAGAAGAATCAGCAACAAGGCATTCAACTTTACTTTTTTAAAAAGAGAGCTGACAAGATGAGGATATTATAGCTAGTCAGCTTAACATTAGTTCTTATCAAACTGGTGAGTGATTAAGTACAATTGCTCTAATCCCACATTAAGAACATTTAGGAACAAGCTTTGCTGAAAGAAAATAAGTATGTTTTTTGCAAAAGTATATCTTTTCTCACCAATTTTCTAGAAGTTTTTCAGAGTGTCAACAGGCATGAGGAGAGGTGACCTGCTGACATTGTTAGTCTGTTTGAAAATATAAAGAATACAAGGATCCTCATCAAAGGATCTTGAGGAAATATAATGGGATAGAGGACCATTTTTATGAATTTCTAAATGATTAAACAAAGCAGAAAACAAAGAGCTGAAATAAAGGCACAATTTTCTCAATGGAAGAAGTAAGAAATGGCATCCCTCAAGAACTGATAATTAAGTTTTTTTCAGCATGTTGATAAATGATGTTGACTTAGGGACAAGTAAACAGTGATCTGATCAAGTTTGTGGATGATACCAAACTGTTCAAAATGACTATGAAGTGCTCAAGGAGGATTTTCATTTTTTTATATTTTTAAGATTTTTATGCCACTTTTGCTACTTTATAAGTAGAAAAAGTGGAGAACATACATAGTACTCCTTCCTCTTCCTATTTTCCCAAAACAACCACCCTATGAGGGAGGTTGAGTTGAGATTAACTGGCTCACAGTCTCCCAGGAAGCTTTCAAGCCTGAGGCAAAACTAGCACTCACCGTCTCCTGGTTTCTTAGGACAGCATCCTAATCACAAACACCAAACTAGCTTTTTAAAAATTAAATTTCTTTAAACTGGAAAAATGATTAAACAAAGAGCAACTGCAGTTCAATTAAATGAGTGTAAATGGATACACACTAAAACACATACATCCTCTCCATTTTACATAAATATTAATGGGATCTGACCTGCATAATCCACTATTGGTAGGAAAAAGATATTGGGTCATATGTAATTTAATTAAGATACCAGCTCAGTGTATGGCAGCTGGGAAAAAGCCAAATTCCATGCTAGGTTCATTAAGAAAGACTGGAAATACAACTGCCCACATAACATTCATATATAAATCTATAATACATCTCAAATACTGCATACAGTTCTGGTTGCCACATATGAAAAGAAGATAGAACTGGAAAAGATTTGGAAGGGGACAAGCCAAATGAACAGAAAGTTCCAACACTTTTCTTATGAGAAAAAAACTAGAAAAAATTGGACTCTTTAGCTTAGAAAAAGGCAAATGAAAGGGACATGGTTGTGTATGCATGGTATGAAGACAAAATAGTTCTTCTCAAATCTCTAATATAAGACAAGATGATGACCACTACAGTGACAGAAAATATTATTTGATCCCCTGCTGATTTTGTACATTTGCCCACTGAAAAAGGAATGATCAGTCTATAATTTTAATGGTAGGTTTATTTTAACAGTGAGAGACAGAATAATCACAAAAAAATCCAGAAAAACACATTTCAAAAAAGTTATAAATTGATTTGCATTTTAATGAGTGAAATAAGTACTTGACCCCTTCGCAAAACATGACTTAGTACTTGGTGGCAAAACCCTTGTTGGCAATCACAGAGGTCAGACGTTTTTTGTAGTGGGCCACCAGGTTTGCACACATCTCAGGAGGGATTTTGTTCCATTCCTCTTTGCAGATCCTCTCCGTCATTAAGGTTTCGAGCTGACATTTGGCAGCTCAAACCTTCAGCTCCTTCCACAGATTTTCTATGGGATTAAGGTCTGGAGACTTGGCTTGGCCACTCCAGGATCTTAATGTGCTTCTTCTTGAGCCATTCCTTTGTTGCCTTGGCCTTGTGTTTTGGGTCATTGCCATGCTGGAATACCCATCCACAACCCATTTTCAATGCCCTGGCTGAAGGAAGGAGGTTCTCACCCAAGATTTGACCGTACATGGCTCCGTCGATCGTCCCTTTGGTGCGGTGAAGTTGTCCTGTCCCTTTAGCAGAAAAAACACCCCAAAGCATAATGTTTCCACCTCCATGTTTGATGGTGGGCATGGTGTTCTTGGGGTCATAGGCAGCATTCCTCCTCCTCCAAACATGGTAGAGTTGAGTTGATACCAAAGAGCTCGATTTTGATCTCATCTGACCACAACACTTTCACCCAGTTCTCCTCTGAATCATTCAGATGTTCATTTGCAAACTTCAGGCAGGCCTATACATGTGCTTTCTTGAGCAGGGGTACCTTGAAGGCACTGCAGGATTTCAGGCCTTCATGGCGTAGTGTGTTACCAATTGTTTTCTTGGTGACATCCTTGGATTGCTCTTTGGTCTTGGCCATGGTGGAGAGTTTGGAATCTGATTGATTGATTGCTTTTGTGGACAAGTATCTTTTATACAGGTAACAAGGTGAGATTAAGGAGCACTCCCTTTAAGAGAGTGCTCCTAATCTCAGCTCATTACCTGTATAAAAGACACCTGGGAGCCAGAAATCTTGCTGATTGATAGGGGATTAAATACTTATTTCACTCATTAAAATGCAAATCAATTTACATTTTTTTGACATGCATTTTTCTGGAGTTTTGTTGTTATTCTGTCTCTCATTGTTAAAATAAACCCACCATTAAAATTATAGACTGATCATTTCTTTGTCAGTGGGCAACCATAGAAAATCACCAGGGGATCAAATAACCTTTTCCCTCACTGTAGCTTGCATGGATTTAAGGAGTTGGACAAATTTCTGAGAGATAGGTCTATCCAGGGCTATAAATCTTGAAGATAAATCTTTGTCAATTTACATGACTTCCAAAGTTTTTTTTTTTTTTTTTGAGAATCACAGTTCTCCCCTTCCTGTACTGGTATGTTTGCAACTATAAAGGCAAAGGAAACTAGAAGAAAGAAATCAGAGATTGTTTGATGTATGAAATATCTCATTTAAATTTTTTTGATAATAAATTTCCACCTCTGGATGAAATTAGACAATTTTGCTATAAAACCTAGACCAAAAATAGATAGTGGCACAGGATACAAATTGTCCAAGACATCATTGAAGACTCCCTATACCATAACTTTCCCATTTATGTATACTTTTGGTGATGATTCTCAACAACTGAATAGTGAGTTTACATAAGAATACCTACTGGATTATCAATATGCCAGTTAATGCAACATGTTCTTACTTGTCTTGTGGATGCTGATCTATTTTTTCATTGCCACATGTGTTACATATAGGCCAAGAGAAAGCAGTTCTCTCATTAATGCCGACTACAATACCTGAAAAAAAGTAGAATAATTTGCAAAATTTAATATACTTTGACTTTGAACACCTTTGACAATCGTGTTTGTTTTTTGATATGAAAAACCAGTGCTTTTAAATAAGTGTACTATTTTATAAGTGTACTATTTAGATTTCCATTGATTTCAGAATTAATTGTAACCAAATCCTAGTTGCTCTCCTAAGTATTAAAAAAAGCTGTAACCTAGATTTTATTATTTTTATAATTTCTCTTTTTCCATATAAGAGAAAATGTTTTCAAATACAAAGTTTGAGTGACAATATACCGTTTAATAAACTAAGAAATTAATGATTTTTGCCAGCAAACCCTGCCTTCCTTAGTTTCTGTCTTCACAGTAAAAGTCAACAAACCAGACCTCCTTTGAACCAGAAAATTCTGATTAACAATACCAGGGCATGAAGTCAAATTTAAATGATTAAATATCCTGGCTTGTCTAGAGCTATTAAACACATTTTTTTGAAAAAGGGAACAAAAGTTAACGGATGATTTCCTAAATTTATTCCATAAATTGATGAGCTGTGGTGATGCAGTAGCTAGAATGCAGTATTGCAGGCTAATTCTGCTGACTCCCAGCAGTTCAATGTCATATAATATATGTGGGTACATGCATAATTCTGTATATTTATTTATTTTTGTCATATTTATGTAGTGTATATTGGAGGTGGTGACCTTTTGAGAGCTGTATGCAATGAAATTTCATTTTAATGTATGTTGATTAGTGTACATTCAAAGTAACAATAAAGTTATTATTCTATTCTATTCTATTATTTTATTCTAATTCTCACCAGCTCAAGGATACCTCAGCCTTCCATCCTTCCAAGGTCAGTAAAATGTGGACCCAGATTGCTGGGGGCAATATGCTGATTCTGTAAACCGCTTAGAGAGGGCTGTGAAGCACTGTGAAGCAATATATAAGTCTAAGTGCTATTGCTATTTCTCCCCTCCTTTAGAGAAGTCACTTGAATAAAAGGATTTTCATGTCTCATTTTATAAAGTTATACACTTGATATATTTGCCTAGTGGTAGCTATTACTTTAATCTGAAATGAACCAAAGTGAAGAAAAAAACCAGACATGACAGAGTTTTTAAAGAGCATTTACACTGGTTTAACATCAGGAATTATTCTTTATTTATATCCAGGTAACTGAGATTTAAGTATGTCCTCCCAAGCCATATACGTGACTAGAAAGGTCAGTCAGATATTTGGATCACCAATAAAGTATTGTTGTTTAGTGTTATAAATCAAGCAAGATGGAATTTTATGGGAAGGCTAATAAAAAGATTTAGAACAATAGCGGTTTGCTGAGCCAAGCAATAAACATTAAGGATGCAGAATGTTTGCAAGCAAAACATATAAATGAGTAATCTTAAAACACCTGCAAATAAATGGATTACAATTGTCAACCCTACAGTGTCAAAGGCAAATTGCCCAGAAAGCCCTGAGGGTTTGAGTAACATGTTTGTATTTTGATAAATGAAATTATTAGGAAAATCAGGACTGGCAATAATCCTATATACAGATAGTCCTCGAATTACAACCACAATCAAGCAAAAATATAAGACCTTTATTAAATAAATTTTGCCCCATTTTAGAACCTTTCTTGCCACAATTGTTAAATGAATCACTGCATTGGTTAAGTCAATAACACAGCTGTAAAGTGAATCTCACTTCCCCAATGGCTTTGCTTGTCAGAATTTCGCAAAAGGGAGCAAATGACCCTGGGACATGCAACCGTCATAAATATGAGTCAGTTGTCAAACATCTGAATTTTGATCATGTCACTATGGAGATGCTGCAATCATTGTAAGCGTGAAAAAACAATCATAAGTCACTTTTTCAGTGCTGTTCTAATGTTGAACCATCACTAAATGGACAGTTGTAAGTCGAGGACTACTTGTAGTAGGCATCAGTGCAGGAATATGTAATTTAATTAATTCGGGGTTTATTATATTTTTATGTAAAGTTTAAGCTTTATAATGAGTTGGAAAAAAAAAGCTTTCAATCATGATGAAAGACTAGACAAAGTAAGAAATGTAAGCCAAAGCAGGGCATATAAACCAATTTTCTTCTCAGGTTCTGAAGGCAGTATATATAGGCATCTCCCAATTTATCCTTGCAACCTTTCATTATATAAATGGAGTTATCCAAGCCCCAGGCCAGGGGTAGGCAACCTTGGCTCTTTTATGACTTGTGGACTTCAACTCCCAGAATTCCTGAGTCAGCATTCTGGGAGTTGAAGTCCACGAGTCATAAAAGAGCCAAGGTTGCCTACTCCTGCCCCAGACTCTCCAGTCCAGGATCATTTGTAAGGTCATTATCCAATATAATGGCACCCACAAAAGGCAACAGAACAACTAGTACAAAAAGTATCGTTGCCTTTTTAATAATCTGCTACTGCACCAGAGGAGTCAACTATAACTTCTTCAAATGGAAATTATCAATTAAAGAAAAAAGAGACAAGGAATATAATTTGTCATAAACTCTTGGAAAACAGGCAAAAAGAAAGCTAGTATTAAGATGTCAAATAAGAAAAAATATAGTTACGAACCTCTTACAGTACAAATAGAATTGATTTGAGTGGTAGAATCCAGATAATCTAGTTTGACAGGACCAGTCAGCTCAGTGATGTCAGCACCAGCAGCCCTACACAAAAGGGGCTTTTGTAGCAAGAGAACGGTACGTTCAATGCAAATAATCTTACCTGCCAACAAAGACATTTTGATAAGTTACAGTAACAAAGAAAAAAGTGGCCGTGTTAATTATCTAAGCCAATAAAGACAAATTCCTGCAAGTATTTCACTAAACTTGTTTTAGTCTGATTTATTCAAATGCGTACTCTATTCTGGTTAATAGGCTGCCAGCATCCACTAATCAGGTTTTATTTAGAAAGGAAATTAGCTGCACATTAAATTTTCTTTATCTTTTAATGGTGGGTTGGGGGTTATTCCAAAGTTATTCACATGTTGCACTTTGCTCCCCAAAACAAGGTAGTCAAATCTTTGCTCAGAGGAGTGTCAGTTCTTGAAACATGGCAAAAGGTTTGTGCAGGTAAGTCAAAGGTTTAAATCTGATAGCTAACAATGATGTAATATGTACTGATTGGTTTATATTGAACATGATTAGAATTTAATTTTATTCTTCTCAAGTAGTGTTAGCTACAGTACTGTCACTGATACTAGTACTATGGTGGAAACTCTATCCAGTTACTTTTTCCCCCTTCTATTCAATGGTGTCTGATTCTTGGAGATTATCTGGACAAGTGTCTACAGTTTTCATGGCAAGGTATTTCAGAAGTGCTTTGCCACTACGCTTTTCCTAGTGCTGAGAGAAAGTGAGTAGCCCAAGGTCACCCAGTTGGCTTTGTGCCAAAGGTGGGACTAAAACTTGCAGTCTTCTGGTTTTTAGCCTGATGCCTTAACCAGTAGCTCTTCATTCAAATACCTACAAGCATGATTTATTATTTAAAATTAAAGTTAGGCTTGAGCCATTATATTTAGAGAAACAACTTAGATTATAGGATGGAGTAGTGTTAACAACAATGAACATATCTCAGAAGCGATATAAGCAGTCTATAATATAGACAATAAAACCTATTCTGGTGCATAATTCCCTACATTTCCTTCTCATTTTATACCACTGGACTGGATATGTAACACACAACAAACTGGTTTTACTAGTGCATATTAAATTAATTATTACATAAGTGTTCTCAGCAACAAATCAATAAAGATTAAGCAGTGGAAAGCATGAAAAGAAGGATTGCTTCTTTAACTTGTTGACAATTCAGTTCCATTGGTTTCCATTATATTGTCATTATAAAACTCTGTAATTCTAAAATATAGCCTCTATGTTTTCTTATTATTTAGCCCCTTCTTCCTTTTAAGTCATCATCGCTCTCTAATTTCTGTTGGTAGGGATGGCCTAGATGTAGGAAAGTCATCTCATTTAGTAAATAAGCTTTCAAAGCTTTTCCACTTGTAAAGAAAGAATGAGTATGCTAAAAATCCTTCAATTAACAAGCAAAAATCACAGAAAACAAGATTTGGCTTTCTATTCTTAATGTATTGTAATGCCCAAATGTCAGATTCCTGTTTGAAAACATTAAGTGAAGTAGGACTCTACATAATTCGTTCCCTCATCAAACTTTTCTTAGGATTTCTTTTCTTGTCATTCAGCCTTCCTGTAACTCTGAATTCAAGTCAAAATCATCTTGTCTGACATTCTTTCAAGTATTTGGAGTATACTATTTTAATAGTCTTCTCTTTTCAAGGTTAAACATTCCCAGTTTCATCCCTCTCTCTTCAGAAAACTTAGTTCCTAGTTCTTTGATCATCTTCACTACCCTTCTTTCTACCTATTTCAGTTTCGCTGAATACATTTTAAGCGTGGTGCCACAACTGGACACAGTATCTGACACAAAACAAAACAAAATCAAAATATTACTGTGGAATTCTTGTGATCTCTGAGATGGTTGTATGTTTGTAGACATTTCATTATCCAACCAAGGTATTTTATCAAATGCTTTACTGAAACCAACGTGTATTATGTTCATATTAATCCCACTATCTATTAAGAAAATTTTCCAATGAAAAATTAAATGTTTTTTTAAATAACGCTTACTTGGTAATTACTGCATTTATTTCAAGGTGCTTACACATCTACTTGTTTATGATCTGCTCTATGAATCTCAGACTGACTGGTCTGTAATTTTCAGGGTCCTCCTCCATTTACCGTTTTGAACATAGAGACATTTTCTCTCCTATAAGCATCTTGTATTTTACATTTTGTCCAAGATTTTTCAAAAATAATATATAAGGACTTGGTGTAACTGTTAGGCAATTCATTCAGTTCTAGAGATTTAAATTCATTAATTTAAAAGTAAAATAATATTTTCTAATCATGCTTTCATCAACCCCAAATTATAATTCTGCCCTTAATTCTGCTCTGCATAATTTACTGCTTACGAGATGTACTTTTTATTAAAAAAATGAATCCAAATAAGAGTTCACAGGCTTTGCTCTTTTTTTTTTTTGTTACTTGTTAGAATTTTGTTGTAGTAAATGAGGAATGTGTAAAGTAATTCATTTTTTGTTTTTATTTTGAAGCTATCTAAACAAGACTTTTTTTTATTGTTCATAGCATCCTATATTACCCTCAGAGCATTCTAACTTTTAGTATTTGAGATTCTATCTCAGTATCATGTTTTGTTTCCCTTAAAATAAAAAATGCCAGCTCACTTTCTCATATTTTAATTTCATAAACAAAGCACTCTGAATTTGTTGGTATCTGGTCAAATATACCTTATCTTTTTGCGCTATATCCTTTGAGGGAGAAATTTAGAATATATCAAACTGAGAAAGTTGTCAGTTAAGATGAGCCAGGAATTTCCTGCAAGTACTATGCATGGCAGGGTTTGTCTCCCAACAGATATCAGGGTAATTAAGTTTCCTATCCTTTTGGAAGACATTATTCACATCTTCTTGGTGGGGAGGTGACAATGAACACCAAGTTGGTATGGATTTTATTCATTTATCCTGTTTTAACAACTCAATGAATAAGGTTTTAAAGAACATTAAATATAAGATCTTAAGAAATCAACAATATATTAATTTTTATGCTTACTGGATACCCAGAGAATGTTTAAGAATGACTGGCTATTGGAAGTGTAAAAGGGATAAGAGGATATATTATATTCTCATATTACATATGATATCCAATTCAGATTGCCTCGTTATTTGGGTTTAATTGCCCTCAGTTTGCTAGATGTGTCTGAAAAATCAATGAATTATTCTTAGAAGTTGGAAAAATGATGTAAGACCAGATTATTTACACACACACACACACACATACACACAACCTATTTTATAATCCAAAGCAACCTGGGTGGCATATAAATTTATAATCCTGGATTTCAGATTTCTATTTGCTTTCAGTTTATGCGGAGACTCTTTTCTATATCATGGAAAGACTGATAAATATTATTTTCGATCCTCAAGATTTAATGATATGTTTAAAAGCTAGTCTATATATTTTCTTATATGCATTACGTTTGTATTCATTCTTTTAATTTTGATTAGGTTGTATTTATTTTTATGTTGTTATTAAATTGTGCTAATCCTTACCATTTCCACACATAGCATCCTTGAAGAAAACAATACAAGGGGAAGAGCTCTTGAATGCTTCCATTACTTCCACATCAACCACACATGATGAAACAACCGAGACAGGTAGTGTTTTGGGAGTTCCAGAACTGATCTCAGACTCTCTTTGCAATGAGAAATCAGTGACAAATAGCCAAAATTGTCTTTGGTCTGGAGAAGCACTGCCCTTTTCCTACGATTGAAAGGAAAACAAAATTAAAGACCATGAAGCAGATGAAAACTTCAATTTAGCTAGCAGCATTTTAATCAGAGTACAATCAATGGATCATACAACACATGTAGCTTACTCTACTCTCCAAAATGAAGTTCAGAGAAAAAAAATTGCCAATTTTTTGTGGCACAATTTCATTCTCTTTAGAGCAATTTTAAGATAATGGCTGCAAATGGTTTCTCTTCTTCCCATATTTCACCCTTAACCACCACCACCACCACCAAGCTCAAAATATTGGCTAAAAAAATTATATCATTTTAGGTGATATACAGAATCACTAGATCTTTTGCAAATCTTCAGAAGATCAGGAGGTGATTATAGTTGTACTACAACTATAAGCAGAAACATATCCAGGTCCTGTACACGTGCTGGGATAAAATCAATGATTATCATTGCTGCCTATTGATTGCAATAAATCAACTGTGTGATATGACTAGATTTGAAACTTAGAAAGTAAAATGGTGGGTGCTGTACCATATTCAAAGTTGCTATACAGGTAATCTTCATTTAATAATTACAACTGGGACCAGCAACTCTTGTCACTTAGGCATGTGGTCATTAAGTGAGATATCAAATGACTGTGAGGAACTTGCAACCTCACTTCTACCATTAATCATTAAGAGAATCTCTCACAGTCATTAAGCAAGACATCACATGATTGTAGGTATTTAAGAAGATATTGGAGAATCATTTGTCTGAAATGTTACAGGGTTTCCTGTAGAGGGTTAGACTAGAAGACCTCCCAGGTCCCTTCCAATTCTGTTTTTCTGTTAACTTGCAATTTTACTGCCAGGCTATCAATTGACTCTGCTTGTTGAAAGCCAGCTGTAAAGTGTGTAAACAATCACATGACCACGAAATATTATGATCATTGTAAATACCTGCTAGTTGTAAAACACCTGAATTTTGATCATATGTGACTTTTAGAGTTGTGCAACAGTCATAAGCGCAAGGACTGGTCATAAAGTTACTTTTTAAGTGCTGTTATTCCTTTGAATAGTTGCTAAAGAGGGCAGTTGTTAAGCGATGTCTACCTGTACCAATTAGACACAGCAAACCATTGCAATCCATCTTATTGGTCAAAGTGAAAGTCACTATAGTGCAGGTATGATTTGCAGCTTGCAGATTCCCCTTTTGCAATTTCCAGAATCAATTCTACTACATGGGTTGAAAGTACTGTAAGTAAAATTTTGAAGTGAAAAATACCAATAAAACCTGTAAATTTCATTTCTTTTGTTAGTTTTATATCTTGTTTTTCCTCCAAGAATGCAATGCAGCATAGATGATATTCTTTTTTCCAATTTTATTTGAATAACAATTCTGTAAAGTAAGTTGGGCTGAATGATAGTGACTGGTAAAGTCATCCAGTCAAATTCCATGGCTGAAGATAGACTTGAACATCAATCTCACAGGCTTATTCCAATTCCCTTATAAAATTCTGAGCCTACCCGATTTACCTCATCTTTCCACTCATGGAAGTTTCTGGCCACAAAAAAGTATTAAGTCCTGCTCCAACTATGACTAGCTCAACCTTAATTAAGGTTTAAATATAAATATTTCCTTATATGCATTTGTTTTAAAATAGGTCACTTTGAGGATTTCATAATTATTGAGCAATTCAAACATACTATATGTGATGCCTTTGACTAGTATTATTTTGAAATTTTAGACAGTTATCATGTGTTTTTTTTCCTTAAATAAAGAAAATACCAGAAGCATTATTCTTACATTGTGTAATGTGCTTCATTTTCTTGGTAGAAACTCTATAGGTATAAACTTGGAAGTTTTCTTCCTGGATAAATTTTGACATTTTTCAAGGATGCATACAAACTAAATGATTCATAAAAGGTAACAGGAGAAACAAAAACATCTATTCCAGCAACATAAATATTCTATTTGGGACAGGAAGGTAAATATTCAGCAAAAGATAAAGGTCATCAAAACAAATGATCTCATAATGAAATTACTTACCTTTTGTAGCTCTTCTATACAAAAGGGTTTCAGATTTGTATTAAGAAACTTACTATTAAATAGTGAAACTAATATAAACACTGCAAAGTAATAATTCTTGAAAATACTGCAGAATTACTTCAGATTAACATTTTGTTCAACTTTTATCATTTGTCATTTTTGTCATTCTTCAAGGTTTTGATATAAAATGCTTGGGCACACTTTCCTGAAAGTAGGCCCTCTCAAAAGTCAAAGAAACATGTATAGATCGTGCTATCAAAGATACTTAGTGTACCAACAGGTGTCATAAAATATCTACAAATTAGAGTGTTTAAACTAAAATAGTGATGCTGTAGTTGAATTTAAAACAAGTGAGCAGGATCAGGATCTCCCTTTTCTTCTCAGTACTTCTGCCATAATTCACCCATTTCCAGAGAACCAAATGGCCCTTTCCAAGAGCTGAAATTCAGAGTTCTACGCACACAACTCTACAGATACTTCCATTTGTCATAACATCATTATCTGTAGAAGTAACAATTCAATTAGTCTTTAAAACGTCACAGTAACACCTTTTCTATTAACAGATTTCTATAGCTCAGGCATGTCAAACTGCCGGCCCATGGGCCAGATGCGTCACTCCCAAACTGCGCCTACCCCATTGCCGGCAATGGGGAAAAAGTCGCAATACGTCGCACGACGTCACGTGACATCGTGAGTTTGACATGCCATATCTCTTTAGAATCAAGAATATTAGAGCTTTAACCTGATATTTGCATTTTATTTTTCAATTAATTGTGTATTAATTTTATTTATGATCTCAAAAAAAGACTGGAAAATGTGAGTGACTTAAAAGGGATTAATAGACTGCAATGTATAATTTCTTCAATCTTTTTTTTGCTGCTGTTCTCATTTCAATTGTTAATTGAAAATTGAATTTTAATTATACTTCTTAAAGACATAAAGCAGAAACACTGGAACACTGAAATACTAACCTTTAGATTTTGACCAACAAGACTGTCAGCCAAAAAGCAAATAACAATAAGTCATTTTAAAACCATCATCTTCCTGTATGTGTGTCAATTTGTTCTGAACAAAAAGGACAGAACAGACAAACAGCAGCAGGATTGAGTTATGTGACAGTACAGTTCCCTGAGCCCAGATGGAATATATTTCCTCATTTTCCTTTTGTACCATAATACTTATTCTGAATAATAATAATAAAAAGACAATATTTCCATTTCCCAATTCACAGAAAGAACTGAAGAATTTTAGTTCCACTAGCATTCTGGAGAGGTTCTGATTTAAAAAGAAGACAAAAGGAGATTTGACTCTTAAACACAAAATGTAGTTTAAAAAAAATATTATTTTCCTGGAATGAATTATTTCACAAAAGAATTTTAAACTGAACCAAGGTCTTTTCCTCATATTTTATGATACAGTAGACTTGTATGAAGGACACATCCTTGCTAGCAGACATTGAACTAGTAAACAAGTTTCAACCCTGACATTTTATTTCTGGAACAGTTAACTTAGGTGAGCTGGTTTATATTTTCACACTTTCCAGAACTCATTCCTAATAATGGTGTATCTTTTTCCATTTTGAAGGTGCTGATGAAGTAGAATTAAGTGACTACTATAAAATACTACCTACAGTTAAATATCTGAACTAACATTGCCATTCAGTTGCAGAATTCTGAATGAATTGTTTAATTTTTCATATTAATTAAAATAAAATTAATACACATGTGAAACAAAATCACCTGGGATGTTTCTAAACAACGGCTATGCTTTTAATTTGTGGAAACTGAGAACATAGGATCATAGAAACTAAAGAAAGAGTATAAATTTGAAAAGCTGTACTACAAATCAACTGTGTTATTATATAATTCGAGTCTTCTCCTAAGCCTGCGCCAACTTTGTGTATGTCCCCCTGAGATGGTGAAAAAAAATCCTAATAGGGAGCTGTACTGCCTACAACTAGTGGTGCCCACCAGCCATTTGGTACTGTGACACAGCAAGGCTAACAACTGGCCAAGACTGATATGTAGCCATGTTTGGACACAATTAGCTTACATTTAATTTTAAAAGATTTATCAATTGCCTTATTGAATTAAAATAAATTATTTTCTTAATCTCCTGCGCTAGTTATTCTTGACAGATTTTACCTCTTTTATTGACTATTTAATGTCTATAAAAATGGGGTTAACCCTATCTATCTACCTATCTATCTATCTATCTATCTATCTATCCATCCATCCATCCATCCATCCATCCATCCATCCATCCATCCATCCATCCATCTCATTCTGAACTGGCCATCTGCTCTGCACTGGATAGCTTAACATGAATAAAATTATCAGATAGAAACATACATTTTTTATTTGTGCCCAATCAATTCTGAGAAAGAATACAAGCACATCTTTATAGCTGGATTTCTATGAAGATCTGATTTAAGTATTGGGATTATGGTTATAAAAGATTTGGAATTAAGAGAGTATAAGTGCAAAATTCTGTAGTAGAGTTCTGGAATGTTTATTTTCTCCCAACACTTATCATTTTTTCCTCTGTTCCATTAAAACAGAAAAATCTGAATAATCCTGGAGTGGTTAATGTAATTCTGGAAGTGGATTACCCAAAATTGGAAGTAAATGTATCTTCTGGATGCTGCCCAATTACTTTTCTATAAACAGTTCAGAACAAACCACTTCTAGAAATAGACTACACCTCTCTGGGACTCCTAGATCAGTCCATTCTAGGGAAAAGCTGGATATTCTGGAAGAAAAATGGAATGACCCAGAAATGGATCTGGATATGAACAATGAAATGGCCACATTTATGGCAATTCTTGCTCAGGGATCTATAAACAAAACAGATTGAAAAGTTCCTAAATTCTCGCTGTAAGGTAGATAAATAGACAATAAAATACCAGATAAACTTTGATATGAAATGATTCTCAATCAGGCAAATCCCCATGCTAGTTTTATAAGTATACTGAACTGAATTCAGTATTCAATTATGTTATGGCACATTAATAAGGCAAATGAATTTAGATTTTTGGGAAATATTTCAAAGAATATAAACAGAAGTTGTGAATAATGAAAATATGGACTGTTAAGAAAGACTGCAAATGAAACTGCAACAGTATATTGGGATTAAAGACATCTATTTTATGATCACATTTAGAATACAATATATAATTTTGGTTAATATATCTCAAAAAAGATATAGATCTATTATAATATTTGGTGCACCAGAATTTCCAAATTCAAAGCCACTTAATATCTTCAGGAAAGGGCTAATGCTTTTTTGTCCTGATTATGGGCTTCCCAAAAGAATCTGACCAGCTATTGTGAAAGGATCATACCATAAAGATGAACTATTGGTCTCTGTCAGCAATTCTTTAAGCCAATATAAACTTTATCATCACACAAACTTTTGTGAATGATAGTACAATTTAACAAATAATTGGAGTACAGTCCTAAAAGGAGTTTATATATACACCCAACTGTTGATGGGACAGGAAAATAGGAGGAAGAGAGATGGTTACAGGAAATGAAAAACACCGGGGATGACATATAAATGTCTTAAATATTGCCTTAAATTTTTAAAAAATGTTTGTTTAAATTCCTTCTACTTTTACAATAATGTAAATGTAGAAAAGTCACTATTGAACAGCCTATTTTTTCTTTTCCTATGTACAATATCCTATTGGCAAATTTGCCGTTCAGGGATAAAATAGCATCATGAACATGCTTAGCTGCAGGGACTGAGGATTTCCCAGATGTACAGCTAATTTCAACAGAGCTTGCTGGTGTCTTGTATTAAATGCTTCCAAACATGAAGCAGATGTAACCAGGAGGCATAAAAATTATGCGAGAACCCAAAATGTCTGGAGCAATCCTTGAGAAGGCAATTTTCTTTCTTTCTGTTAAAAGAGCTTACTCAACTGCCACTGATTCTGTAAAAGCTGAGACAACTATTATTTAACTTACTAAGTAAAATATACTCCATTACTTAAAAATAACATAATGTTTAACTTATCTTTTAATGCCAGGTAATGGTATTAGATTGTAGTAAGTAAAACAAACAAATTTTTACAAGGTTTTTAACTCTTAGAGTCTCCTATGTATAGTTTTATGGAAGATTTCATGTTTCATTTTAATGTGATATCCAGTTAAAATCTCTGGAATGTAATTCAACCAGATATGTCATATATGTTTGAAGTAATTTGTAGCACTGTGCTGACAAGCAAAATCCAGCAGCTGCCCACAAGTCCATATAAAATGTTTAGTGAAAGAAAATGTTAGAAACCTTAGGAAGATAGCTTGGAAAGGAGAAGGGAAAAAATAGAATTAACCATCTGGATTATAAAGGGCAGAGGGAGTGGCAAATGAAATCTACCCAGATATATTCAGTTTTTACTGCAGTTTCTAGATTTATACACTTAGTCATTTCTCATCTAATTATGTAATATTTTCAATGTACAAATATGCATTTGGTGTCATCTTTGTATCTTTTAGAGTAGTTTCTGGTGAATGCAATAGTTCCAGTTCAATAAAAATCTTCTTTCTGGTACTGTATACACAAAACCTTCTGTAAGTGGAGTTATTTACATTATCCACTGTCTAAACGAGTAATATTATTTTAGTTATATTATAATACATTACTTCTTTGGTATCATAACACTATTTTTACCTTATTCTTTCACTTTATTGTAAATAATCTTTCTAAAATGATTTTTTAAATTTTAATATGAAACTATTGACATTATGTAATCAAGTAATTTGATTTAATAATTAGATAGCCAATATGAAGTAGGACTGGAAACATCCAAGTTCACTCATGGGAACCAACTGGGTGACTTTGGGCCAGTTATTTTCCCTGAGCCCACTCCATAAGATTGTTAATCCTGGGGAAAAAGGAAAGGAAATCCCTATATAAATCTTCTAGAAGAAAGACAGAATATCAATCAACCAAATATATAAAGATGGAAACCCTCTAATGAAACTCTAAAGGTGACATCAGACTTTAAGGAATTGTACCAATAAAGGAGAATATTTGTAGCTCAGGGTTGAAATGAGGAGTCCTTGGTGCTCTCTGAGCTTGGTTGTTTTCTTACAGACATTTCATTACCCAAACTAGGTAACATCATCAGTTCTAGCAGTGCTAGATTGGGTAATGAAATATCTGCAAAAAAATAACCAAGCTCAGAGAGCACCAAGGACCCCTCATTTAAGGAATTGTATTGGACTGTTTCTGAACTGTTGAGCATATTTGGAATTATGAGAACATGTCAACAATCTTCTCACAAACTAATTGTGATAAGGACTGTTGCTGAACTGTTGCTGAATAGGACCAATGAACATGTTTCTTTATGATAACATTAGCAAATAGCTTTCGTTTATACACTTTGCAAAGAAAGAGCTTTATATGGCAATGAATAGAAGACACATATGATTCATTTACTACTTCAAAAAAAGAACAATTTCAATATAAAAAATGGCTCCTATATTTTCGGAGAAGAAATTGTCCTATAACCAAACCCAAAGAATCCTCTAGCACATAAAAAGATTTTCATTTAGACTGACAACATATTCAGTGGTTTTGTGTTCAAAGGGCTGGACTGGGATAAGAAGAATCAGGTTCAGGTATCAGTTTGACCAAAATGAGTGATTTTGATCTAGTCACTTCCTTTTAGCTCAGCCTATCTCACACAATTTTGTGCAAATAAAATAAAGGGAGACTCCTATATGTACATACAGAGCTCTTAAACCCAGAACATAAATGCAATAACAATTAAAAAATAACTTGTTGATATATAGATATACATAAAAATAATACCTGTAATCTTCGATATACAACATATGCCCAAAAACTGCAACGCTGAGGTAAATCACCCATCTGAAAAACAATTAAAATTTGGGGCTAATATTGAATTACAAATTATTACTGATTGATTACTTTACTGTTTGTAAACTTTTTGAGGAAAAAAAATACCTGATAAATTTCCATGAGACTATGAACAGTTGGGGGAAAATATAAATTTGATATTTGTTCTCTTTCATCTGCATCATTGTAATCAGCAGAAGCAGCAAGAATGTAACAGAAACTTGGAGGAAGCTGGTTAGCAGTAACTTGCTGAAAATAGTAAAAATAGATAAGGTCATTTAATAAATGGATGCTCCATATTAAATTTATTTATTTGGTGCAGACTACGAAGCCCTTCTAAATAAGTGAGAAGAGACAGTTAGCAGACAACAATTTCTCCAAATGTCAGAAGGTTGATACTCTCTGCAAAATCAGGAATAATATTTCATCTAGACTTTATTCTGAGTATACACCCACAAATTTATATCACAAAAGAATATATCTAAACACAAAGCAACAAATAACTGAAATTGCTTTTGCTATGATAATATTGGCAAAATGGGGTTCTAATATTTTCATTTCTTCACATACTTTCTCTGTCATTTAGAATATTAGCATGAGAGTGAAACTGATAATATTTAAAGCCATGTTACTGAGAAGCAAAAATGCTGCCAAACTGAATCTCCAGCAGTAAGAGGATAATTGGGAACATGAATAGTAGAACATAAAATGACATGTTCTATTTATTGGTGGCTGTTATGAGATCAAATCTATTTTATTTATTTGAAGATTATATAAGGCAATATAATGCTAATTATAAATTTAAATGTCAATAAATATTGAGAGTTATTTCTTGATAATTATTCCAATTACAAAGGAATGGCAATACTGAAATACAAAACATCTTTGTATTTCCATTTATGCACATGGAGTTTCTGAAATATCACAACTTATTAAATCTGTGATTCATGTCCCAAAACACCATATACTTATTTAACATCCTGACTAAAGGAACTCGGGTGCTTTCACCCTATTTTGTCCATATACATCCAAATTTGGAATTTACAAACCCCACCTTCAACCATCATTGTTTTACCCAAATTATCTAAGAGATAAGTGCAAGCTAGTCATTGAACATACCTCCACAGAATTTCCAATGTGAATTAACAAGAAACTCAGCAAAGCATAACAGCATATCTATTTTTAAGTATATCCTTTCACTAGAAGACATGTCACACAAATACCCCTT